ACTCTAGACTGCGGTTTCCCTGTGGAAGTTGTGTTTTCTTCATGTATCTCTCTCTGTACCATGTCAGGATTCCCGTGGTGAGCTATCTCCCTTATTAGGCTCTCAATTAGGCCGCCCGGGTGGTATTAACGTAGAGAAGCAGAGCCTGAAAATATTGGTTTTTGACCTGGGCATCTGAGAAATAAGGTCCCCAAGGCCTTCTGGTTAGCCATTCTCCCTTGTCTCTATCTGGGTAGGGGAGAGATGATGGCACAGATGCCAAAGGGTTCATTGTGGACCATGTTAACCAGGAAGATTGAACTTAGTAGTTTTGCTTCTTTTTTCTCTTTCCTCTTTGTATCTCTGAATTTTAGTTTATTTGCAACTAATTCCAAAAGAGTCATGCTGAGGAAGAGAGGCAGGATCTAGGGTACAGGATATTTGGATTCTGACACTCTAACCTTTGTTTTACAGGCTACTGGAAGATGAAAGAGACTCTACAAGGCACCGGGTCTTGGGGGCCTGAGCCTCCTGGACCCGGCATAGCCCCAGCTTACTCAAGCCCTAGGCGGGAGCGTCTCCGTTGGCCCCCACCCCCCAAACCCCGACTCAAATCAGGTGGAGGGTTTGGGCCAGATCCTGGGTCAGGGACCACAGTGCCAGCCAGACGCCTCCCTGTCCCTCGGCCTTCTTTTGATGCCTCAGCTAGCGAAGAGGAGGAAGAAGAAGAGGAGGACGAGGATGAAGATGAGGAAGAAGAAGTGGCAGCTTGGAGGCTTCCCCCCAGATGGGGTCAGCTGGAAGCCACCCAGCGACCTCGCCCTTCCCGTCCTACTCATCGAAAAACCTGCTCACAGCGCCGCCGCAGAGCTATGAGAGCCTTCAGGATGCTGCTGTATTCCAAAAGCACCTCGCTGACATTCCACTGGAAGCTTTGGGGGCGCCACCGGGGCCGGCGGCGGAGCCTTGCACACCCTAAGAACCATCTTTCACCCCAAGAAGGGGGTGCAACACCACAGGTGCCATCCCCTTGCTGTCGTTTTGACTCCCCCCGGGGGCCACCTCCCCCTCGGCTGGGTCTGCTAGGTGCTCTCATGGCTGAGGATGGGATGAGAGGGTCTCCACCAGTACCCTCTGGACCTGCCATGGAAGAAGATGGATTAAGGTGGACTCCAAAGTCTCCTCTGGACCCTGACTCAGGTAAGGTGGGTGGAGGAGGGGGTGGGTAGAGCTGTGATCCTGGAGAACTAGGAGCTTTTTGCTATGATAACTGGGCCTGAGGAAAATAGTATGGTAGAGTTAAGGGGGTCCAAAATAGCTGTGAAATGTCTTAAGCCCCACTTTGATTAGAAACTAAGACAGGGAAGGTAGTCAATGGTGGGATATAGAATCTTTGAGTAGATGTTCTGTGTATAGATGAGAGACGGAGACATCGTTTAGAAAAGTCAGACAGTCTTGTCCACTTGAAATCTGTCCTCATTCAGCCATTCAGGATAAGGGCCCTTTCATGTGCATCTCCAGATGGTGCTATTCTCATAGTGGTGGGATGAGATCTAAGTAGTGGAGAACGTCACCTGTATGGTTGTGTGTGGCATTCTCACTCAGACTATTTCTCTTTTGGAGAACCCCAACTAAACAATTTTAGGCTCTCTGTGTCTTTATCAATTACTTGAGTATTTATTTGAGCCTTTGCTATATGCCAGATGCTATGCTAGGTGCTAGGCATATAGTGGTAACAGATATCTCTGAAATACACATCTCTGAGTTTTAGTTTTTTCATGCTTTCTTCCATTTTCTAAGTACAGTTGACCCTTAACACAGGTTTGAACTGCATGAGTCCACTTATACATGGATTCAGCCCTCCATATCTGTGGGTTTCGAATCTGTGGATTCAACCAACCTCAAGTCAAAGACAATATTTTCAGTCTGTGACTGGGAATCCAGCGATGTGGAGAGCCGACTATATGCATTATTCTCACCATATTATGTAAAGAAATTGAGCATACGTGGATTTTGGTGTCCATGGGGGTCCGTCCCCCACAGATACTAAAAGACAACTGAATTTTGGGAGGAGTTAAAAGTTATACATGATTTTTAAGTGTAGGGTGGGACCGGGGTGTTGCTTCTAATCCTCGTGTTGTTCAAGGGTCAGCTGTAGTTAAGTCTTCCTCTTTGTGCCTTTATAACCTTTTGGATATGCTTATCTCATGTTTTAGGGTCTCTATTCCTTAGAGTTTATATTGGCAGGTTGTTTCGATTTATCTTTCCTGTGGTCTTATAATTTGTGTGTATCATTTAATCTTCCCATTGTCCTTTGAGCCAATTTCTCATCCCCATCCTGTTCCCCTGCCCTACAGGCCTCCTTTCCTGTACTCTGCCCAATGGCTTCGGGGGACCACCTGGGCCAGAAGGGGAGCGAAATCTGGCACCCCCTGATGCCAGCATCCTCATCAGCAATGTGTGCAGCATCGGGGACCATGTGGCCCAGGAGCTTTTTCAGGGCTCAGATTTGGGCGCTGCAGAAGAGGCAGAGCGGCCTGGGGAGAAAGCTGGCCAGCATAGCCCACTTCAGGAGGAGCATGTGACCTGCGTGCAGAGTAAGGAACTCTAAAGGACCTAGTCTCTTTACCTCAGCCAACTCCTAGATCAGAGTCTGGAGGTCTCACCCCACTCCTCTCTCCCTCCTCCACTCAGGCATCTTGGATGAATTTCTTCAAACTTATGGCAGCCTCATCCCCCTCAGTACTGATGAGGTGGTAGAGAAATTGGAGGACATTTTCCAGCAGGAGTTTTCTACACCTTCCAGGTGCGACATGAAAGAGATGCCCTTCAGAAGAGGGCTGGGACTTGGGGGATAAGGAGAAAATGCTGCTACTTTTTCTGCCATAGGGATGTACTTAAAGAGAAAGAGGAAGCTAGAATAGAAGGGGTGGGGGGAATCTACAGGCAAGGTGCCAAGGTGCCAACTGAGAGGGTCATTACCTGGGATCCTGAAATACTATGTATACCTGAGTGTTCATGTGCTGCTTTCTGGGGAGTAGGCCTTCAGCAGTTCCTCAAAAGGACCCATGGCCCCCGCAAAATGGATTAGTTTAGACTCTTATCCTAGGCAGTAGAAGGTACATCTGTGTGCCCTAGTCCCTTTGTCTTTTGTGTGACTCCACCTTTGGCCTACTCAGGAAGGGTCTGGTGCTGCAGCTGATCCAGTCATACCAGCGGATGCCAGGCAATGCCATGGTGAGGGGCTTCCGAGTGGCTTATAAGCGGCATGTGCTGACCATGGACGATTTGGGGACCTTATATGGACAGAATTGGCTTAATGACCAGGTGAGGAGGAGTAGAGAAACAGGCCTAAGAGAAGATTTAAGGAGCAGGGCGTCTGGGGCCCTCTTCATGGGGGAGCCCTGTACGCATGCTGCACCCTCCATGGCAAGTTGCCTCCCATCTTCTCCTCAGGTGATGAACATGTATGGAGACCTGGTCATGGACACAGTCCCTGAAAAGGTAGGCCTAACCAGGTACTTCAGTCCCCAGGAGAACTTGCACAGTTTTAAGCAGCTTTTCAGTCTCTGTCATCTCTCCTGTTTTACCTAAAGAGGACCTTTGTTTCTGGGGAGAGGTGGTAGAAGATAATCTGTTAAATTCAAATCTATAATCTTGGTCCTGAACTTAACAATTGTATTCCTTTTGCCTAGTTTTCAGTGTTTTTCCCCTATGGCTAACCCCACAAATTGGGATGGGAAGCTATAAGATAAGGTTAAAAAGTTTGTTTTTTTACCCTTCAATGAATTGGTGTACAGGTATTGAAAGCAGTTCTTAGAGCCATAATGAAATGAAGAGGACACTTAGCACTAGAACCTGAGGTTTTTAATTTCATGTAGCGCTTTTGTATCATTGGAACAGGTGCATTTCTTCAACAGTTTCTTCTATGATAAACTCCGTACCAAGGGTTATGATGGTGTGAAAAGGTGGACCAAAAACGTGAGTTATGAATTCACATTTACTTATGTAACACTTTCCATTTAAAAACTTGAGTTCTATTTTGTGTAAGCTCTTTCCCCAAAACTGTTCATTCTTTCAAATATTTATTAAATGTCTTCTGTGTGCTAGAAACCATTCTAGGCACTAAGGATACAGTGTTAAATGAAAAAAACTTCTTGCCTTTATGGGGTGAGAATAAATAAGCAAGTCCCAGCTGGTAATACATGCTGTGAACAAATTAAAACATAACGTAGCAGCATGGGAAGTAGGTACTTCAGGTGATCTGGGAAGGCGTTTTTTAGCTGAGACTTGAATGATGAGCAGATTTGAGGGAAGAGTGTTTGAGACAAAGGGAATAACAAGTTACATGGGACACAAAGTGAGAGAGAACATTGGAGGAACAGAGAGGGCCTACGTGGGTGGCCTGTGTGTTTGGAGCAGGGTGAACAAAGGGATTTGGTCAGAGAGAGAATGTAAGGCATGGAGGGTAGGGTAGATGTCATTCCATGTGAACTGAAAAGCCATTGAAAGTTTTAAGCAGGCTGGAAAGTGCCTCATATTTTAAACTCTTATTTCATTTAAAAAAAAAACAAAAAACATTTCAATGATAGGTTGAAAGGAGGCCAAAGAGTAGAAGCAGGCAGACTAACTTAAGACTGAGTTGCACAGTAGTTCACATGAGGAACTTGGACCAGAGTGGTAAAGATAGAAATAGAAGTAGGTTTATCTAGGATAAGTTTAGTGGATAGAACCAATAAGACTTTCTGACATATTGGATGTGGAAAATGAAGAAAAGATAGGAATCAAGGATTGTGCCTAGGTTTTTGGCCTAAGTTACTAGAGAAAATAATTAGGGGGAGAGCAGGTTTGATGATGGAGAAAAAGTTCTTTTCTCCCCTCTTATTCAAAGGCCAGGACATTTCTACAGTAAGGTGGGACCACTGGCTCCAGCATTTCTTAATTTCTGTTTCCAAGTTCAAGAGCTTTTACTCTCAGGGATCTGGCAGGCCTACTCCCTATAGAGGCAAGGTGACATACAGTGAAAAGAACTTGGTCTTCTTTATACCTGTGTTTGAATCCCACCTCTGCCATTTCTTCTGTGACCTTGGGCAAGTTATTTTCCTTTTTCAAGCCACAATTATTTCATTGTTAGGTTGAACACGAGAACATTCTCAAAAGACTATTGTGTTAATTGAGCATTTACCTGGTGCCATACATTATTCTTTGTGCATTATGGATATTAACTAGTTTAATCCTCGTAACAGGTGAGATATAAGTATTATTATTTTCACCCTCTTACAGATAAGTGGTACAGAAAGTTATTAAGTAGCTTGCCCATGGTCATAAGCTACTAAATGGAAGGACTGGATTCGAACCCTAGCAATCTGGCCTGAGAATCCTGAGAGCCTGGGTGCTTAACTACTAAGCACTTGTACCTTTAATGTGTGACAAGTACCTGGCCTATCCTGGACTGTCGAGCCTTTGTCCTGATACCACCTCCTTTGTCTTGCTTGCTTTTCTCTTTTAACCCAAGAATCTAGACATCCAGATGTTGAGCCTTGCCTCACAATCCAGGGGCTGGGTCTTGTGTTCACCTACTTGGTTCCTTGCCTGCTCCTCCATTCTTTAGAACCTCATGGCAGTAGGCAGGAGTCATGCTGTCTCACCTGACCTTTGGCACTGCTTCCATAGGTGGACATCTTCAATAAGGAGTTACTGCTAATCCCCATCCACCTGGAGGTGCATTGGTCCCTCATCTCTGTTGATGTGAGGCAACGCACCATCACCTATTTTGACTCACAACGCACCCTAAACCGCCGCTGCCCTAAGGTTTGAGCAGGAAGGGGAAAGATGGGTAGAATGTGGGGAAGAGGTGCAGTGGCAAGGCATTCCAGGCAGAAGAGTGAGTTTGGGGTCTCTGAGAAGCAACCTAGTCTTAGTGCCTGTGACCACCACATCTGGTTCACTTCCTCCTTTTCTCCATCTACATAGCATATTGCCAAGTATCTACAGGCAGAGGCAGTGAAGAAAGACCGGCTGGATTTCCACCAGGGCTGGAAAGGTTACTTCAAAATGGTAAGTTTCTAGAGGGAAGAGGGGTATGGGATTGGTGGTGGAGATGATGGTAGGAGGCAGAAGTTGAAGCCACATCCCTAGGAGTCTCCAGGTAAAGGGCCTACCCTCTTTCTTTTCTCTAGAATGTGGCCAGGCAGAATAATGACAGTGACTGTGGTGCCTTTGTGTTGCAGGTAAGCAGATTTCATTTGGGTTAAAGGGTTGGGAGGGAGATCGGAGGCTGTTCTGCATCCCTCATTTGGCTCACAGCCACTTGTGGAGCAGGGAGTAAACCTACGCGTTAGAACACAGAAATCCTGGTTTTGTTGGTCCTGTCGTGCTTCCCCATCTCACATTGGGACTAGGTCTCTGGTCCTTGGTCTCTGGCCATGATATACCTGCCTCTGACCCCCAATACAAAGTGTTCTCTCTCTCTTAACATTAGGTATTTCATGTGCCAAGTGAAAACACTGGCTTTAGAGTCAGACTTTTTTTGAGCCTCATGCTATGGGACCTTGGCTTCCTTTGTTTATGAAATGGCATGTTTTCTGAAAGATCGTATGAAATATATAGCACAGGTCCTGACGGGGTGGGGGGTGGGGTGCGATGCTCCGTAGGGGGTTCTCATGGCCTGCTTTGTTAACACCCAGTACTGCAAGCATCTGGCCCTGTCTCAGCCATTCAGCTTCACCCAGCAGGACATGCCCAAACTTCGCCGGCAGATCTACAAGGAGCTGTGTCACTGCAAACTCACTGTGTGAGCCTCGTATCCCAGACCTCAAGCCTATTTATTAATGGGCAGGGGAACATGGGAGACCCTTCCTTCCCAAGAAACTCCAGTTCCTTTCCTCTCTTGCCTCTTCCCCACCCAATTCCCTTTGGTTTTTCATATTTAAATGTTATAATTGATTTCTGTATTTTTTTTTCTTTGAGAATACTTGTTGATTTCTGATGTTCATGGGTGGCCATGGAAAAGCCCCTTTTTCCCTGTCAACAGGGGAGTATGGCCTAG